GGCTGGCATTCAAACCCCCAAACTCAATTAGAAACAAGCTTTGTCGGTTAAAGGATCCTGTGGAGCCAACTACACAAAACAATTCAGTTTATCTAATACCCTGTTGCAATGATTGTCAGGTCAAACTAGTAGAACAGGGGCAGTCAGACTAGCAGAAAATAAAAACCTCGCAAAATCTAGATTGGTTGACCCAAATAAGATAAGAAATCTGGAGAATAGTTCAGCTATAGCACTACATGCAGTTGCACATACATATGCACATACCATACAATGAGATGGGATAGGATGACAGTTTTAAAATCTAATGTCACAGGGCGGAGGGAGAGATTGATAACAGAAGCTTATTTATCGAATCAACTGCGAACATATGTAATAGGAATGATTCAACACCTGTCCACCCAGATATCTGGAAAATTCTATACCCCAACGACAAATAGGAGAAGACAAAGAAAACTATAAAACTCAAGTGTCAAAGTCGTGCGATTACAATTGATATGATTATGAACAACAAATTTTGTTCGAAACGTGATCCAGTAAATAATACTGTTTCACTGTGTGATACATCTAATAAACAAACAAATATGGAATTACCTACTACCACAGTGCCCAAGTTTTACACATATATTAAAACGATATTGTTGTTTTCACTGGGGTTTCGCTATTTAATGCTACCTCTAATAGCTTTATCAAAGTAGTATTATTAAACCAGAATTTACAAAATCTCAGCTTATATATAACAACTTTATCATCGTTCCTCAGCATGGGGTCATTTTTCCGTTGTCAAATTGACCATTTGGTAAAGATAACAAAACCAGGTGTAGATTGTTGGATTTGATAAGTGTGTAAAATTATAAAAGCAGGGTGTGTTGACATAATGAAATTGCTTATCATATTCGTGTTGATTTTGTCATTTCATGGGGGACGGAGGTGTTGTAACCAGGTCAAATTCTGTTTTAGTCCATCATTCCTATTCAGACAATTTGGATTCCATTTGGTGATATGAAGTGCTTCTGATATTAGACGTTCTTTGTGATTTCTGAAATTTTTCTCGATGATGATTTCAATATTGTCAAAATCAATTTTGTGGCCTGATTCTATAGCATGTAGACCTATGGCTGATGATTTTTCAAGCTTTTCTAGTTCAACTGGATTTCTCGGTGGTCGAACAGATGCTCTACGGTGTTCATTTCTTCTGATTTCGATTTCTCGAGATGTTTGTCCGATGTATATCGCATCACATTCCAAGCATTTTATTTTATAGACACAATTAGATAGAGAATCTTTAGGGATTTGGTCTTTTATATGGACAAGGTTGCTTCGCAGTGTGTCTGATGTTTTGAACAAAACTCTGATGTCGAGCTTATTGAGTACTCTTCTGATATCGTCTGACGTCTCCGCTCTATATGGAATGACAACTGTTGAGGTCCATGTTTTCGGAATACGTTTTTGACCATACTTAATGTCAGTGTTGATTTTGTTGATGAAGTTCCTTGGGTAGTTGTTTTTCTTGAGAGTCTCAGTAACGTTTGATATTTCTTCTTTTTCTTTCTCATCCGTTATCATAATGTGCTCGTCTAAGAAGACTTGAAACAACTGATACCTTTGTGCTAATGGGGTGTGATGATCCGAAGTCCAAATATTTATTGGAGTGGGTTTCCTTCCTGAATATAGATATACTAAAATGTCTGTTTCCCCTCCTCTTAACTAGGCAGTCTAGAAATGGTAGTTCACTGAGGTCTGATTCTGATTCCAAAGTAAACTGGATTCTAGCAGATAGATTGTTTATTTTCTCCAAGAACGAACTGTGTAGATCTCGTTTTAGCACTACAAAAGTATCATCTACATATATTAACCATATTTATGAGTGAGTATGCTTGAAAAGATGTTATCTTCGAATCTATTCATGAAAAGGCCAGCGACTATTGGGGAAACTGGTGAACCCATAGCAACACCATTTGTCTGTCTATATAAATTCCCTTTAAAATGTAAAATAATTACATTCTAGACAAAATTTCAAGCTCTTAATTATTTCACTGGTGTCCAGTGAACATCTTTGTGATAGCGTCGTATCTGATTCTAGTAGACTGGAAATGATATCAAGACTTTCGGTAATAGGGATACTAGTATATAATGAGTTAATATCATAGCTTACCATAATATCTTCTTTATCAATTTCTCGGTGTTCTATTTGGCATTTGAAATCATATGAATCTTTTACAGTGGTTGTAGTATCGAAAATAAGTATTTAGAGAGGTTGTATGTCGATGAGTTGGTGAAATCTACTACAGGTCTTAATGGAACTGTGGGTTTATGTATCTTTGGTTGACCGTAGAATCTTGAAGATACATAAGATTTTGGTTTTAGTTTAAACCAGAGGGAATTTGGAATTTCGCCTTTCACTTCCTGAAAGAGTCTGTTTGTCTTTAGTTTCATTTTGTTGAATTCGGCAGATTTCTTCCTCTCTTCAATGAGTAAGTATGGTCCTTCAAATAGGCGTTCAATTGCCTTCTTTTCATAATCCGTTCTGTTCATTATCACAGTGACATTTCCCTTGTCGGCTTTCGTTATAACGATGCTTTTGTCTTTCTTCAAATTTCTTAAGGCTTCATATTCTTGTTTGGTGAGATTAGATGGTATGTTTCGTTGTGTCACTAATATGTGTGACATCTTTTGACGAACAGATTGTAATTCTTCATTGGTGAATTGTTGTAGAGCAGATTCAATCATATGTGCTATTTCCTGGACCGATAATGGCTTTCTGGTGATAATGAAATTCAGACCTTTCTGTAGTAATGAGATTTCATTTTCGGTTAGTATCTTGTCTGACATGTTATGTATGGCTCTAATATTCTTCATATCATTTGTTGAGGTTTTCTTTGGTTTCTTTCTTTTCTTCGAGTTTTAAGAATTTTTGTCTTTGTCTTCTTTTAGTGACATTATGAAAATGAGATTCTCGTTCATTAAACAGTTTTTGGAAGGATTCATAGATATGACTTGTAACAAGTAATGTTAAACAGTCGTTTATATTTTTGATTCTCGTTCGATAAGATTCAAGTTTGACGTTGCAGTTATGTATTCTTTCTCGTAAAAATACTTTGGAGGTATGATTTGCAGCAAGTATGGATTTGTGCGAATATTCAAGAGGTTTAACTCGTAATGACTTTGGAATAATTCCACTTTGTAGGCAGCGCACGTTGAAAATACGATGATTATAGAAGTTACATTTATGCTTCGGTTTTTAATTAAGTTATATATTTAGAACAATACATTTAAGCGAACAATATTGTTTTCAATTAGATCTCATCAGGCTTAACTCTAATATATATAAGTTTACAAATAAAATATAAAAGGAATGTTGTAAAATGTCTTACGAGCAGAGCAAGAAAGATATGTACGGATGACCTCTTACAAAAGGAATTTGAATATATTCACGATTCCTTGATGGAGATGGGCTATCCGAGTAGCTTCATAAAGAAACATATGAAAATATCGGAGAAAAAACCGGAGACTCTGACTGCACGTAAGAAACCTCTATTTATTAAGTTACAATTTAATGGTGACTTATCAAGTGAGATTCTATTCCAAAGACTTTCAAGGAGTATACGAAGAACATTTTATGCAGCACACCTATGTTTGTCATTCTCTAGCCGACGAATGATTGGGACGCAAACGAAGGATAAGCTAGATAGTTTTGCCACATCTATGTGCATTTATCAATTCAACTGCACCTGCGGTGACAGTTATATTGGGCGTACTACTAGACAGCTTAGCCAACGTGTTAGTGAACATCTCCCATCGTGGTTTGGCAAAGGACAGACAAAAACAGTTCGTAGCTCAATTTTGTCACACTTAATTGATAGTGGTCATGTAATCGAGAAAACGAGAGCCTTCAAAGTGATTCATCGTATCCCACCGAATCTTTCCAATAGACTTCGTATTCGTCTACTACACACAGCTGAGGCGATAGGCATTCGAACTATTAAACCTAAATTATGTATTCAAAAAAAGTTCGTACAGCCATTATCCCTCCCTTGGCCTATTAAGACATAACCAACTAATCACTTCTACACCACCCTTTGTTTATATTTTCAACCCCTTTCTTATCATCCCTTAATCTTATCTTCATTATAAACGTGTTTCATTTCCTTCCCTTACAATCTAACATTACTTAATCGGTTCATTTGTTTTTACTAGCCTTTATCGACTACTTCCACCTGAACAGTTGTTTGTTTAATCATGCTGTTTTTTCATTATTCGTGTTATCACAGATTGCCTCACTTTTTCATCCTTATTATTGATAAGACCATTTTTATTATTACTATTATTATTATTATCATTACTACTATTATGACTAATTGCACAATTTATATTCACCATCGTATTATCCTATAGACAAAACACCATGATTGGTTTATATTTGAATTTTTATTTGTAAACTTATATATATTAGAGTTAAGCCTGATGAGATCTAATTGAAAACAATATTGTTCGCTTAAATGTGTTGTTCTAAATTTTACTATGGGAATATTTAATATATTAAGTTGTATATGTCCAAACCAAGTTCACTTTTAACAGTTTGAAAAAATTTGGGCATTGGGTATATGTGATATTCATTGTAATTAAGGTTTTTTGTATTTCCCAATGAATGGAAAACAAAACGATATTGATTTACTGACATTTCACTATTTGATGCTGCTAATAGCTTTAATAATACTTTGATAAAGCTATTAACAGCATTAAATAGCGAAATGTCAGTAAAAACAACAATATCGTTTTGTTTTCCATTCATTGGGAAATACAAGAAAACCTTTATTATAATGAATATCATATACCCAATGCCCAAATTTTTTCAAACTGTTAAAAGTGAACTTGGTTTGGACACATATAACTTCACTCTCAGATATCATCAAGTGAAATAAATTCATAATCTGTTGCTTTTTAAAAAAAAATCATAAAACACACTGTTTATTTGTTTAAATACATGTAAAAATAAAGCTTACCCACAGGACGTCCTTGAGCTTTACGTTCACTTTCCGTTTCAATAACTGTCTGATGTTCATTCCAGTGTTTATCGCATGCTGCACACAGGAAAGCAGATGAAAAGCCTAAACAACTACATCCTTTAGCATTGCATCGATATGGGATTGGATCAGCTACATGCTCTTCATGTGTATGCTTACATTTACACTTGACACGATAGGTATTACGATCGAAATCTCTTCTTTTCACTAGCCAATATTCACCAACTTCTTCTGGTCTACTGGGGATAAATTTAAACGCCTTACAGATACAACCAGCCTAATAAGAGACAACAACAATATTTGAAATTGCTTGAAAATATTATTTCAGTTAAGTTGCATTGATCAATTAAAAGGATATACATCACTAAAGAGTAATTACTTACTCTCTTTTCTGTAACTTCTCATAGAAGCTACACAGTTAAATGGGGTTTTTGAAAAGTCATGAAAAAATTACCTAATACATATCAAAGATTACTACTATCAGTGAGTAGAACCAGTTACACATTGTCTCGGCGTGCTGGACAACACATCTTCCAATATGTCTGTCAAGAGAGGAAATCACGCCAGTAAAAATAATTGAAGAAATATTATTGTTAACCTCTCTATCTCAACTTCATTGACTTTGAAAAGGCCTTCGATAGCGCAGTGTCGATCGAGAGGTGACTTGGAAACTACTTCACTGGTGTTTTTCTGCTTGTTTATTCCCTGTTTTCCTGGTTTTAAGGGGAGCAACCCACAAGGTCACTTCTCTCTAAATTATAAATTGATGTAACAATCCCCCTTCTCAGGCGTGAGGCTAGCAACCCCACCATGTAAACAAAGCTGCTGCAGAAACTTCAGCACGATGAATCTCCTTGAGCCAAAAGAAAAAGTTTATGTGGGGACATGGAATGTCCGTACTATGTACGAGATTGGCAAAGCTGCCCAGATCGCAAACGAAATGAAAAGATACAAAATTCAAGTACTGGGAATATGTGAAAGCAGATGGAACGGGAATGGACTCACCAAATTGTCAACGGGTGAGTCAGTGATCTACTCTGGTCACCCAGAAGATAACCATTCGCACACCGAGGGCGTGGCTATCATGATGTCACCAACGGCAACGAAGGCCCTGATGCAATGGGAGGCGATCTCGCCCAGGATAATAACCGCCAGATTCAACTCCAAAGGAAGGAAAGTGTCAATTATACAATGCTATGCACCGACAAACAACGCAGACCTCGAAACGAAAGAAGAATTCTACAGACAACTGCAGACAACAATGGACAATACTCCAGCTGGTGACATCAAAATACTAATGGGAGACATGAACGCCAAACTGGGATCAGATAACACAGGAAGGGAACTCATCATGGGTAGAGAAGCTCTCAGAGAAATGAATGAAAACGGAGAACTCTTCGCCGACTTCTGCGCCTTCAATGAACTAGTGATTGGTGGCAGCGTATACAAACACAAGGATATCCACAAGGCTACATGGGTGTCACCAGATGGGCGAACCAAAAACCAAATCGACTTCATCTCAATCTCAAGGAAGTGGAGGCGCAGCCTGCTGGACACAAAAGTAAGAAGAGGAGCAGACATTGGCTCAGACCACTATCTCGTACAAGGGACAATCCAAATCAAATTAAAAGCTTTCAGAGAATCAGGAGCTGCAGATAGACCACAAGCCAAGTTCAACACTCAAAAACTGAAGGACCAGGACACAAAGGACATCTTCACTGCAAGTATAAAAGACAAAGCCGAGACACAAATCAACACTGGCGAAGAGGTCAGCGTCGAAAAGCACTGGAACAACTTGAAGACAGTGTGGAGTCAAACCTGCATGGAAGTTCTAGGCAGAAAGAAGAGACAGGACAAACAATGGCTCACTACGGACACTTGGAAACTAATAGAAGAGAGAGGGATGGTGAAACAAAAGATTCTCCAGTGCACCGATGAGCAACAAAAACAGGATTTGAACGCAAGCTACAAGACACTGAACAAAAGAGTAAAGAAGAGTGCCAGAGAAGACAAAAGAAAGTACTATGAAACCATGGCAAGTGAGGCAGAACAAGCTGCAGGCAAAGGAGACCTCGCAACACTCTACCAAACTACTAGGTACCTATCGGGCAAACGTTTGACACAAATCAAGCCGGTGAAGGATGACAATGGAAAGTCACTCAACAAAGAAGTGGAGCAAAGGAAACACTGGGCTGAACACTTCAAAAGACTCCTAAATCGACCACCACCTACAACGCGCCCACAATACCAACAACGGAGACAGAGCTACCAGTGAACACCAACCCCCCGACGAAATCAGAAGTCCTGAAGGCAATCAAGATGCTAAAAGCTGGAAAAGCAGCAGGACCAGATGGAATCCCAGCAGAAGCATTGAAAACGGACCCAGAGACAACAGCGGACTTGATGACGCCACTACTGGAGAAGGTGTGGAAAGAAGGCAAGGTACCCGAGGATTGGAAGAAAGGATACTTATTCAAACTACCAAAGAAAGGAGACTTAAGTCAATGCAAGAACTGGCGCAGAATTATGCTCCTGTCCATCCCAAGCAAAATACTAAGCCGCATCATCCTGGAGAGAATCAAACATCGCCCTGGATGAAAAACTTCGACCGGAACAGGCTGGATTCAGGAGAAACAAGTCATGCATTGATCAGATCGCCACATTACGGATCATCATTGAACAAAGCTTGGAGTGGCAGTCACCTCTCTATCTCAACTTCATCGACTTTGAAAAGGCCTTTGACAGCGTCGATCGAGAGGTGATTTGGAAACTACTTCGCTACTACGGGGTGCCACCGACAATTATACATCTCATCCAACAGCTATACGACAATGCTGCATGCCAAGTAATCCACAATGGGAAACTTACGGAACCCTTCGAAGTGAGGACAGGAGTAAGACAAGCTGGCTGCCTACTATCGCCAATGATTTTCTTGATTGCAGTAGACTGGATAATGCGACAAACAGCGGGCAATGAGGAAACAGGCATAAAATGGACCCACACAAAAAACTTGGAGGATCTGGACTTCGCCGATGATATATGTCTGATTTCCCACAAACTGGAAGACATGCAAGCGAAAAGCAACAAGTTAGCAGAAGAAGCATCAAAGATAGGACTTCAGGTGAACATAGATAAAACAGAGGTGATGAAAATTCCTGGGCAACACCACCAACAGCAACAACAACAACAACAGACAACAATCAGCATAAATGGGAGGAACCTGAAAGAAACAACCTCCTTTACCTACCTGGGAAGCATCGTTTCAACTACAGGCGACGGAACTGACGAGGATATCAAAGCAAGAATCGGAAAAGCAAGACAAGCTTTCACTACTCTCAAGTCTGTGTGGAGGTCAACAGCACTCAGCATCAAAAATAAGATCCGGATTTTCAACTCCAATGTGAAGTCAGTGCTACTATACGGATCAGAGACTTGCACTGCGCGTCATAAAGAGCATCTCAAACAAACTACAGACCTTCATTAACAGTTGTCTTCGCTCAATACTCAAGATCAGATGGCCAGAAAAGATCAGCAACAGGGATCTCTGGCAATGAGCGAACCAACCCAGCAGGAACCGATTGTGAAACAAATAGGCAGGAAGAAATGGAGATGGATTGGCCATACTCTGAGGAAACAAACCATCAAGTGACATCACTAGACAAGCCATTGCTCGAGTGGAACCCGAAAGGGAAGCGGCGAGTTGGTCGTCAGTGCAAGGGTGACTTGGAGGAGGTCATGTGAAGAGGAGATGAAAACGTGTGGGCAGACTTGGAGCCAGGTGAAGACTCTAGCAGAGAACAGAACGCAATGGAGACGCACGGCTGAAGCCCTATGTTCCTGTAGGAATTAAAGGATACAATAATGATAAATAATAATAATCGCTACTACGGGATGCCGCCGACAATTATACATCTCATCCAACAGTTGTACGACAATGCTGCATGCCAAGTAATCCATAACGGGAAACTCACGGAATCCTTCAAACTGAAGACGGGAGTAAGACAAGCTGGCTGCCTACTGTCGCTAATGATTTTCCTGATTGAGGACGGTAGACTGCATAATGCGACAGAGAGATGGCGGGTAGTGAGGAAACAGGCATAAAATGGACCCACACAAAAAAACTTGAAGGATATGGACTTCACCGATGATATATATCTGATTTCCCACAAACTGGAAGATATGCAAATGAAAAGCAACAAGTTGGAGATAGAAGAAGCATCCAGGGAAAATAGGCCTTCAGGTGAACATAAAAAAAACAGAGATGATGAAGATTCCTGGCAAACAGCAACCACAACAACAGACAACAATCAGCATAAATGGGGGGAATCTGAAAGAAACAACCTCCTTCACCTACCTACCCACCTACCTGGGAAGCATCGTTTCAACTACAGGCGGACGAAATTGATGAGGATATCAAAGCAAGGATCGGGAAAGCAAGACAAGCTTTCATTACTCTCAAGTCTGTGTGGAGGTCAACAGCACTCAGCATGAAAAAACAAGAACCGGATTTTCAACTCATATGTGAATTTCTTGCTACTTACTACACGGATCAGAGACTTGGCGTGTCACTAAAGTCACTTCGAACAAACTAAACACCCTCATCAACAGCTGTCTCGGCTCAATACCACTCAAGACCAGATGGCCAGAAAAGATCAGCAACAGGGATCTCTGGGAGCTAACCAAACAAGCAAGAACCGATTGCGCAACAAATAAGCAGGAAGAAATGGAGCTGGATTGGCCATACTCTGAGAAAACAAACCATCAAGTGACATCACACGCCAGGCCATCGCTCAAGTGGAACTCGAATGAGAAGCGGCGAGTTGGTTGTTAGTGAGAGGGTGACTTGGATGAGATGAAAGCAAGTGGGCAGACGTGGAGCCAGGTGAAAACGTTGGCAGAGAACCTAACACAATGGAGACGTGCGACTGAAGCCCTATGTTCTTCTAGGAATTAAAGGAAACATAATAATATAATTATTATTGTTAACAACATGAATGCAGTTTTAAATTACATTGAATAAATCAATAGTGTCGACAGATTACATTTCAAAGGCATCAGGGAGAGAGAGAGAGATAATATGCATTAATATAACACTAAACTGACTGAATTTCAGATAAATTAAGAGAAATAATCCAGAATTCATGAATTTATAGGCTTGACAACAGGCCAAGAGAATAGCAATAGTATCTGAACCTGCATTTCTTTCGCACTCAAAGCTCCAGTTGATTTCGCCTTATTACAATGGCCTCTGTTGTTTGAAGTGTTCGATATCTACAG